TATTTATTTGTTTGTATTTATAGTGATATTTATATATAGTCAACAGTTATCAAAGATTTTAATTTTGTTTCAGCAGTCAACACATATTCAAATTTTTGTTGAAATTACTGTTTTGATTTTTAGATTCAAAGAAGTTTAAATATTTGTGTTATCGGATGAAAAAATCGGTAGGTATTGAAAAGTTGTTGAAATATACACAAAATCAACCACTTTATGGTCTTCTTTTGCTTCAAAACCATTTCGTTTGGATTTATAGAATTTAGTTTTTTGTTTAATGTTAATTACAACTTTTAATATAAAAGTACCATAACTAACTGATTCAGAGATTTTGATGATGTCACTAACATGCCATGGCGAGCGCAGTTGAATTATAACGAGCAGCGAAAAGAGTGGCAAGCTGGCAACGGTGAACCACTGTAAGAAGGTATTTTTAATTCCTTTGAATTTTGGTTCGTGATACAGCATGAGTATTTCCACCAACAGCAGTAAAGTATTAATTTAAATTTTAAGTTTTGTCGTCTTCAAATTTTCAGCGTAGTAACAAACGTGTTGTAAGGTTCTTAAGAAAGCAAAATTATAAATAAAATTTAAATGGGAGGATTGCAAGCAGTTTGTCAAAAGTTAGCAGTCATTCTAAAAATTGTGTAGGAAAGAATCAAGAATTGTGTATGCCGTTTTCCATGCAAATCTTTTGTTCGTTACTTTTTAATCGGCAACATTAACTGTGTAGCTGACTTGGGGACTGTATTAATCTATGATATATTCTTTATGGTTTTCGCATTCAGCTACTCAGTTGCCAGTCTGCCGCGTGGTAAATTTTAGTTAACTTTTGTGTAGAGATTTTTAAATTTCTTGAAGATTTATGGGCAATAAAAATTTTAGTTTTTTTTTTTTCTTAAAAAATGTTTCTTTTGATCTGTTGCAGAGAAACGTGCGACAAATGCCGATTTTTATGAGTTTTATACACAAAATTTAATTTGTTACGTTTCTTTGTCCTAATGGTAATTTGTTTTTCTTTCCATTTTCTTTACTCAATTTAAGTTACAATCAAAAAAAAGCACAGCATTTTGAATACCCAAACATAATGGGCAAGTAGATGTATTTGTGCGCAGAAATAAATAATTGTTATTGTTGGATCAAGCTTGATTCAATTTTGAATAAATTTCTAAATTAAGTTTAATGGAATGATTGGTGAATTACTGTGATGACGTTTCGGTTGGACAATGAGGTGATCAAACGATGTCTGCTTACTAAAGCTCATCTTTTTTTCTGCAACAGTATTGTGCAAAAAAGTTACAGTCTAGAGAATTTGATCTACAGATACCTAGCTTGAAGTTAAACCTTCATCTTTTCCCTGCAACACGTTCTAAAATGTAAAGAACAAAAACTGAAGTATTGAGAAAATTACGTTTACGTGATTTTTTACAGGCAATTTGATTTTTTCTCTTAAAGAATTAAAGAAAAATAATTGGAGTTTCACTGGAAATAATGGCAAAAAACCGGAATAAAGGAAAAAAGTAACATTAGAGAATTACTAGTGTATTTATTTTAGGGAGATTTGGTTAAAAAACGATGTTTTCTTTGTCATTAAAACATTAAAACTTGATGAAGATGTGATAACTCATTGAATTGATTTTTTTTCAAAAAATGGTTTTTCATTCATTAGGGTGACTAGATGGAAGATCATTCTTGTGGGCAGCAAATATATTATTTCGAAAGATGGCTGAAAAATTTCTTTGGCAGGGGTGCATGGAGAACAAAATGTAAATTTTCTAGCATATTCAGAATATAAAACAGGACGGTTAGTCTTAGACAGAGGAGAATTTTGTTATTATAGCTGTGCTTCTGCTGCCAGAATTTTTTGCCAGGTGTAGAGATTAACAGGTAGTGCTTTGAGACACTATTTTTTGGCAAGTTAGATGTTAATTAAAATTTTGCTTTATTAGTGCATTATACGACTACAAATTGTCCACTGCAGTGAACGACAGTAGTTATCGATGAATAAAGTCATTTGTAGTCTGTACTTGGTACTTCAAGTACAGCCTCGAGCGAAGCTGCTACACTTAAGAAGTGATTAGGCAGTCTGCAGCAGTGCTACATTGGCTACGGAAGATGGCAAAACAGTGAACAGATGTGGATCAAAAAATGGCTAAATTTAAGTTGTTGAGTGTGGAAATCACGTACCAGTTTTATTCGTTTTAACCTGCAGCTCATTACTCTCACTGTCGACAGTAACTTCGTTTTCTTGGTATTTATAGGTTTCGACTTAGAAAAAATACGATTTGCAGCGTGAAATCTTCATAATATGAAATGAAACATCCGCTCTCAATGGATATGATTACAGCGAATTGGCAGGGTTTAGTTGCAAAAAGTATACTTCAGGAATAAAATGAAACAACAATGGAAGTCGTCTAGTGGAGCTCAGAACAGTGTGGAAACTAGAGCTTTCGCTGGGAATCGTTAAGGAGATTTATTGCCGTTATGGTGTCGCGAATAAGCAAAAGAGTTTTGTCCCGGTAAAGACGATGCAACGGAATTTGCTGACTGACGGTCACTTTTGGGTCATCTGTGTGTTTCAGCGGTTCAGAAACAATTCCTTCCATGACAGTGAAACTCTGTTATCCGCCTTCCATCTCCACCCTTAATCAAAGTGTTCTTATTTCATTTGCTCCCACCACCGTCCTTACCGTCGACGCCCTGTACGTCGTTGACGTAGTCATTGTTGTTGTCTTTAAAAACCCATTAATTCCGACGGGGACGAATAAAAAAAAATTGCTTGCCTCTAATTTTCTTTCTAATAATATTTAACTTGATGGAACTTGTTGGCTGTTGTAGTCGTTTTATACAGTGTGGTAGGATTCTATTTTTGATTACAGAAACAAACTTGTTGTTTTCAGTTGAAATTTTTTCTTTTATTTAAGTTTTTTGTGATTTGATGGCTGACAGCTGCAGTGTTCGTTTTATTTGATGACTGTGCTAAAAAAAGTTAAACGAAACAGAAGTAGTTCAGAATTTTCAGCCGCTGTTATCTTTCATACGTTTATAGTTGCTTTTAACACTTGCCCACTGTCACCTGATGATGGGACAAGGCAATTTTGACATTCATAAATGTTTTTTTAAGGTTATTTGAGTTGGAAAAAAAATTTTCTTTTTTCAAATTACATTAAAAAATTTAGCTAAATAATGAATCTTTTGACACAACAAGACGAATAAACTGAAAAGTGCTGAGTTTTTTTCATTTTTGAGCGGAGATTCCGTTCCAAAATGAATTACTATGATAAGCACTAAACCGCTTCAGTTTTAGCATTTTTAACTGTAGTTCAAAAGAGAAAACTTTTAGTATGATGTGAGATCTCTTAAGTTTAATTTTTTTTATTTACATTTTGGTAGCAACTGTGAGAGTACCAACGTAAAGATTTACAACTCTCCCAGACTAGTTACTCTTTAAAGTTTTAGATTAAACTAAACGCAACATTTACATTTGGAACCTTCACTGTTTTTTTCTTGCTTGTTATGCAGGGTTTTAGTTGTTTTGCTCTTTTTGTTTCCTTACTGAACCTTCAACTCCGTATGGGTCAATTTTCAGTATTCATGCAAGAAAGTCGAAATGACAGCTGTCCGTCTGTAATATGTCGAATATTATTTTGAAAAAATTTTTATGGCTAGAAAGCATATGTTGTTATTGTAAGAAACTGTCAAGAAGTTACTGGCAGTAAGACTGAATTTGAGAGTACTGGTTAATCTTGGCAGTGCGAAGTTTTAAAGGTCTTCAGCTTACCCTCATTTGCAAAGATAAGATTTCTCAACCACAATTAGTGGGCTGTTGTCATCAAAAATTGGTTCGACTATTCGGCGATTGCTACTTTAGATAAGTTGCATCATTATAAGTACAACTTCATTACCATTTGTTGTTGAAATCAGTTTGGTGAGTAGAGGAGAAACGTTAGCAGGTAGTGCATGTTAAAAAAATAGCAGTTTAAAGTTTGGTTGTGACAAACATAATTTAACTTAACAAACTTTTGTACTATAAGAATGATGATAGTAAGTAGCTAAAAGATAAGTTACAGAACTCAGAAAAGAAGGGAATGGAAGATCTTGTAACTGAACTGATTAAACAGAACTACATTGGAGATGGATAAGGGAAAAAACAACAGTTTCTGTGTTATTTGCATTGGCATTTGCGACAGTTCACAACTTTTACTTGTATGTATCTAGTGGACTTTTTTGACTAAGTAGTCAACTAGGTATTTGACTGAATTGGCACATCAATGTTCGCAAAAAAGATAAAATCTTTGAAAGATGTTTCTCAAATAAACCAGTGATAGACAAAAAAGTTTATGTTTGGATACAAATCTCGGAGTGGCTGGAGAGTTTTTAGTAGTTTTATCTGACAAATTTTTTAAATCTCACTTTACTCTGCAATAAAAAAGTAAATATTATTGCCTAAATTTGCGGTTTTAATGACTTGATTTTTTCGTTGAAAATGTTTGAAGGTACTACTAAGATCCAGTTTCTCTCTGCAATCTATCTACTGCAAAGAATAAAATACATTTCAAAGTAGTTATTTTAAGCAGTAATAATACGCTTTAAAGTTAGACAATTTCGTATTTAAAAGTACCTTCGCCTTCAGAATAAGAGAATGTTTTTGGCTTATTGTACAGTGGTAGCTAGTACTTTATTTATTCACGCTAAATATAAAATTGTGGAGAATATAAGGCAATTCTTCAGCATAGCGTAGGTTTACGGGCTTCAATATATTTTCGAATAGATGGAATACTGTGAATTCGTGCAATTAATTCCAGAATATGTGGATATGCGTCCAAACAATTTTTTTCTCCATAATCAATAAATTTTGAAAAGAATTCAGCGACATACACATCAACCCATGTCTCCTGAAGTATTCAGATACATAAACAAATTTCACTGATGCAGTTCTTTTCAAAAACCAAATGTATCATGTTGAACAATTGAATAACAGTAAATCAAACCTGTTCACCAACTAATAGTCCGTTGTTGTTTCTCAGTAAGTATTTTTCGACATTTGGGGCGAAAAGGTCTAATGCTGGTAGCACCTTGTTTTTGAAATATTCTTGCTGAAACTTTTATTTATTAATATTTTGTTATTAAGGTTTAATGTAATAATTAGTCAAAACTAGACACTGTATTTTTAAGACAATTTTATCTTTCACGGATTTGAATCTGTTGCTTTCTAAAACCTTGGAATACAAAGTCTACCTTATCTTCTTTTATTATTCCATTTAGAACATATGGCCACTGCTTTATTCCATCGACATTGAAAGCATTGGCAATAACATCACCAATCATATCCAATATGGCATTATCTAATGAGGACTTTCCTTCCAGCTCTGTAAACAATGGAAAGATTCTCTTGCCTCAACTTAC